TCTTTGTATCCCTTTTACTTCTACACTTTCCATACATGTCGATAAGCATCATGTTTTATTTATCACATTCATGCCTAGCATCCATTTTCATGCATCTAGATTTAGCACATCTGTATTTGTGGGATTTATCGTTCAAAACGTAGTTGTATGGGCTACCTCATGCTTTGAGATAATACGCATGTCATGTATTAGTAACTGGATCTTTAATTGCATTTTGTGTATGTATTGCATTAGATATTTGCATATAGGATCATGCATATGTTTATAGCATATTACTTTTGGGGCTTGCCATGGATGAGTGCTAAGTGAGCATTTCCAGTTTTAGCATCTTGTGTATGTCTATTATTCTACTATGTCCGGCATTATACCATGTGGCTACTTGCTTATCTAGAATATTTATATGAATGCCAGTAGATGGAGGTTGTGTTGCTCGAGTTGGAATGTCATTGATGGTTATGTGTGTGAACTCAGTTTTCTTTGAGTTTTACAAAAAGGGTTTTTTTAAATACATGAAGTCAAAGCATAACAAAAATAAGTAACATGATTTATATTTGATTGCTTCACATGGTAATTTTTAGTATTATTTAATAAATCAAAACATGAGCATATAGTGTCTATAAACTTATATCATAACTTAGTAGAGGCCGATCTTTTAATCTAGTGAGCGGAGGTGCTCAATTCATGACCTTCCCCCCATACCTAAGGTTTCAAACCGAAGTATCTTTGGTTATGATAAATAGTGGCATTTGGTATGAGTCATAGGTTTTCTAGTTTTCCTAAAAAAATTAGGTGGCGACTCTGAGATCTGGTGATACAGCCTATTTCTAGCATATTTTGTAATAAATGGATTTTCTATAAAGTTGCCAGATCTGAACTCTCATTTTTTGTTTCACACTGCACTAGTGATATAAAATTCGAAATTGAGAGTCTGAACTGTTGTGCATGCTTGAGTACCTTTGGGACACCTACACTTACCATCCACATTTTTTTACAATATCTTGAAAGAGCATCATTATATAAGGGAGATGGGAAATGAAGCTCGAAATCAAGACCTCTACCTTAGGAAATGTTGCCCTTACCAACATGAAGTCTTGGCTTTTACCATCCACATGTTCAATTCTAATAATTTGCAAATTTAAGATGATGAAATCCAATTCACAGAGAGAGAGAGAGAGAGAGAGCTACACAAATAAATTTTTTTATAAATAATTCCATCTAGAATAATATGATAATGATATTTTGAAAATTATGAATAGTAATGGCTGGATGTTTAGGTACACAATACTACACACATGGTAGGCATTCTGCCAAATTATAACAAGCATATTGATTTAAGTATCAGAGTGCCCTCTAGGCGAATACTCTAGCCAGTTAATACTCGTTGTTTTTGTGATCGCAAGCAATCAATGTTCACTAGAGTTCATGCTCACTAACCTTGTCAAAGCTACATTTAGTGCGACCAAATTTTTTTCTACACAAAAAACTTATCTCAAATATCTATAAGACAATATAAATTGTACTCTTCTATTTTATTTATTCAGTCTTGTTTTTGCTTCAAGTAGATATTTATAAATTTCATTTATTTTTATGTACTTGTGCATCAATTTTAGATTTTGTATTTCTATTTTCCACAATTTTAATATTGTGATTTGACTTTCTATGCGTGTATATTTAAAAATATATGCACTTTATAATTTGTTCTAATGCTTGTGGATGTCATGCCTTTCTTGTTATAAGACGCTTTCCCACACTTATGTTGTACCAACTTCACTTTCTTACATCGATAGAGTTGCCACTTAATTTTTATGGGAAATTAAGAAACTTTTAATAATGAAAACTAAGTAAAAGAGCTGATCCGTCACAACCAAATAATCAAGGTTTGGGAACTCGTCTTTGAATAATGCACCCTTTTTTCACCCAATCAAGTGATTGGCATCTACTAATATTATATTTTATGTTAATGATTAATTATTTCACAAAATTCATTATTAACTCTAAAACTTAATAATGAAGGTTCGGGAACTTGTCTTTGAATGATGCACCCCTTTTTCACCCAATCAAGTAATTGGCATCTAATAATATTATATTTTATGAGATTAATAATTAATTATTTCACAAAATTCATTATTAACTCTAAAACTTAATAATGAAGGTTCGGGAACTTGTCTTTGAATGATGCACCCCTTTTTCACCCAATCAAGTAATTGGCATCTAATAATATTATATTTTATGAGATTAATAATTAATTATTTCACAAAATTCATTATTAACTCTAAAACTTAATAATGAAGGTTCGGGAACTTGTCTTTGAATGATGCACCCCTTTTTCACCCAATCAAGTAATTGGCATCTAATAATATTATATTTTATGAGATTAATAATTAATTATTTCACAAAATTCATTATTAACTCTAAAACTTAATAATGAAGGTTCGGGAACTTGTCTTTGAATGATGCACCCCTTTTTCACCCAATCAAGTAATTGGCATCTAATAATATTATATTTTATGAGATTAATAATTAATTATTTCACAAAATTCATTATTAACTCTAAAACTTAATAATGAAGGTTCGGGAATATCAAGTAAATAATCTAAACATGCAGAATATACAAGGATTAAACAGAACCTCATGCATGATTACTACATGATTAATCTAACCTAAACCCGATTTAAGGCTACTAATCATGATTTCATGCACAAAAATCAACTAACAAGTAAATAATCTAAACATGCAGAATATACAAGGATTAAATCGAGCCTCATGCATGATTACTACGTGATTAATCTAACCTAAACATGTTGTTTATATAAACAAAACAAAACATGCAGAATAAAGTGAAAAACATGCAAAATTGAAAGATAATCTTAACAATGGCAATTGATCGAAATACCCACGAGGGTGTTTATCACGCGAGAATATCGATTATCTGAAAGTTAGAAAATGAAAATCTTCTAGTTCATATATAAATTATTCCAAACCTGTTGTCAAGTATTTATATGCAAATAAGTGACCTTTGGGAATAGGTATAATATTTGAATTTGTTTCATACAACAACAGTCACCATGGTTCACTAAAAGTTGTGTCTATTGATGTTTGAATTCAAACCATTAACTAACTAACAGATAGCTTCAATATTCTTGCAGGAAAGTTCTTTACAATTCAAGAGAGAAAAGATTAAGTGAAGCGAGTCACACCAAACTATGGTGTGGTCACTCTTTATTCCATCATCTCCCACTTGAACACACCACAATAAGATGATAAACCTGAGTTGAGCATTTTTAACCTTGGTACCAAAATTTTGCCTCATGCCAACTTTCATTTATGAAATTACCTCATAGATCGACGTTTGATTGTGACTTGGCCATACGTGCGCATATTTTTGCCACCAATCTGACCGCACTCGTACGAATGTGTTCTCCCACTGACAACATACTCCAGATGACTTCAATTCACTATATTTCAAATGAACGGCATCAATTTTTAGTGCTGGGTTCATAGTCCATACCCAATCACCATTGACGACTTCAGCCGCATACATTTTTCATGTATCGACCTGCACTGAAATTATTGTTAAATACTTCCTTTAAGACCCATTCCTGAAGGTTTTCCTTAACACACCTTATCAATGACTTTTTGCTGATCAAGCAGACAATATCATCTAGTAGCACGTTGCGTATAATGGACTTTACATCTCATGCTAATTATGATATCCATACATTATCAGTTCCTCTATCTTGTTACCTGACCAAACACATGTTTCCATGCAAGATAGAGTCGCAAAACATCGGTTATCTAGGCGTCCCTAGAGTCATCTGACTATGCTCTTATATAAGTAGCTAAACCACCTAGCTAGGCATTTTTCAATCCCATATTAGCTACATGTTCTCTGAATTTTTCCAGAGACAACCCTTTGGTCATAGGGTCAGCCACCATCTCTTCTGAGGTTATATAACTGACTTTAATTTCACCTCTCTCTACTATGTCCTGAATATAGTGGTAACTTACATCAATATGTTTTCCCTTGGAACTATTTGCTCCACTTTTTATTAATGAGATGGCGGACTGATTGTCACAAAACATATTGACCGGTCTGACATGTATACCTAATTGTAAACTATCAACAAATCGTTTTATCTAGACTGCATTACTAACGGTTGTGCTGCAAGCTATGCATTCAGCTTCCATAGTATACTTTGCAACACAACTCTGTTTCTTACTTAACCAAGAAACTGCTGTTCCACCAAACAAGAACACATAACCACTAGTAGATTTTCTATCATCTACATCTCCTGCAAAATCTGCGTCAGTGTATCCTTTTATGTCTAAATCACACAAACCAAAACATAACTTCAAATTTTTAGTGCCTTTTAAATATCTAAATATTCTTTTGACTGCTTGCCAATGTTCCTTACCTGGATTGGATTGAAACCGACTTACCAATCCGACTACATGACAGATGTCAAGTCTAGTGCTTGTCATAGCATACATTAGGCTGCTTACTGCCTGAGCATACGGGACATTTCTCATTTCCTCAATGTCAGACTTAGTTTGAGGACTCATACTTTTACTAAGACTTTGTCCCTTGCAAACAGGCGTACTTAAAGAATTACAGTTATCCATATTAAATCTTTTGAGCACCTTGTCAAGATATTTCTCTTGATCTAGATATAATAATTTTGAATTTCTATCTCTTGAAATTCTAATTCCTAGAAGATAGGTTGCAAGACCCATGTCTTTCATTTCAAATCTAAATGCCAAGAAAGTTTTGGTTTTTATAATCATATCTGGACAATTTCCTGCTAACAATATATCATCCAAGTATAAAGATAATATCGCTAACTTGCCATCATTTTTCCAGATATAAACACAGTGATCTAATGGACTCACAACATAGCCCATTTCTAAAATGGCTTGGTGGAATTTCAAGTACCATTGTCTTGAAGATTGTTTAAGTCCATATAGAGATTTCTTCAACTTGTAGACTTTATCCTCGTTACCTTGGTTCTGGAAACCATCAGGTTGAATCATATAAATTTTCTCTTTTAATTCTCCATTGAGAAAAGCAATTTTAACATCTAATTGATGCAATTCCAAATCCATCCTGGCTACTACAGCCATTAGAATCCTTATTGAGGCAAATTTTGCAACATGAGAATATGTATCTACAAAATCTATTCCAGGTTGTTGAGTGAAACCCTTGGCTACTAACCTGGCCTTGTATTTCTCCAAACTTCAATCTACTTTGAATTTCTTTCTAAGAACCCATTTGCAACCAATGGCTTTTCTTCCATTTGGGAGATCAGTTAATTCCCAAACATCATTTTTCTTGATCGAGTCAAGTTCTTCATTCATTGCGTCAAGCCATTGAGTAGTATCACTACTACTTATTGCTTCATTATAAGTAGTAGGATCATCCACTAAGTTATTAAGTTCTTCAACTTGAAAAACATAATGATCTTTCAAAAACGTAGATGGACATTTGCAACCAATGGCTTTTCTTTTATTTGGGAGATCAGTTAATTTCCAAACATCATTTTTCTTGATCGAGTCAAGTTCTTTATTCATTACATCAAGCCATTGAGTAGCATCACTGCTACTTATTACTTCATTATAAGTAGTAGGATCATCCACTAAGTTATTAAGTTCTTCAACTTGAAAAACATAATGATCTTTTAAAAACGTAGATGGACATTTGCAACCAATGGCTTTTCTTCCATTTGGGAGATCAGTTAATTCCCAAACATCATTTTTCTTGATCAAGTCAAGTTCTTCATTCATTGCGTCAAGCCATTGAGTAGGATCATTGCTACTTATTGCTTCATTATAAGTAGTAGGATCATCCACTAAGTTATTAAGTTCTTCAACTTGAAAAACATAATGATCTTTCAAAAACATAGATGGACGTCTTGCTCTCTTACTCCCACTTATCTCAGGATTCGAAGCAGGTAAAACAATGTCATGTAATTTGCGTTTGCTCCCACTATTAGATGATGCAGGGAGAATATGCGGACTGTGTGATAAAGAAGGAAAAGAAGAATCTTGAGATACTTCAGAGAGCAATTCAATTTGTTCAATAGGAGTAACAAGATCAGTGGATTCAAGAAAAATAGCATCTCTACTTTCTATTAATCCACGTTCGAGATGGTAAAAACGATAACCACTCCCATTTTCGACATAACCAATAAACTTGCATTCCCAAGTTGTGCTTCCGAATTTATCCCTTAAAGGTTTGGGAATAAGTAAATGTGCCTTACATCCCCAAACTTTGAGATTTTGAACATTAGGTTTAGTTTCATGCCAGCATTCGTAAGGAGTTAGCGGTTTGGCTTTTGTTTCGACTCTATTTAATATGTATGCAGTGGTGGACAAGGCTTCTCCCAAAAAATGAATAGGAAGATCAGCATGAGTCATCATAGACCGTGTCATTTCCATGAGAGTATGATTTCGTCTTTCTGCGACCCCATTTTGTTGTGGTGTGTATGGCATTGTAAACAAATGTTTTATGCCATTGTCCTTGCACAAAGAATCCATAGCTTCATATTCGCCACCTCTATCATTATTCAACTGTTTAATGGACCGACCAAGTTGCTTTTCTACCTCTAATTTATATACCTTAAACTTTTCAATTGATTCTGATTTGTGTTTAAGAAGGTAGATATGTCCATATCTTGAATAATCATCAGTGAAAGTAATAACGTATTCCGTGCCTCGATGAGTTTTAGTTCTTAAAGGCCCACAAATGTCCGAATGAATTATTTCGAGTAATTCCGATGATTTCCAATGTTTGAAAATGGCTTGCTAGTCATTTTGCCTTTGATACATGGTTCACATATATCAAAATCATCAGAACATACTTTAGGCAATAAGCCGCTTTTAAACATTCGAGACATTTTATTTTTATTAATGTGACCTAACCTTAAATGCCACAAATAAGAACTATTACTAGTAGAAATATGCATATAATCAGAAATACATACTTTATTATCAATAGGAAGAGAGTACATATCATTCACTCTTACACCTTTCACTAATACACTTCCTTTCTTAATCAATATTGTACTAAACCTAAAAGTAATCTCAAAACCTTTTTGAGTTAACACCAGAACTGAAATTAAATTTCGCCGAATGTTGGGTACATAAAGCACATCATGAAGCACAATAGAAGTTCCATTAATAGAGAATTGACAGTTGCCGATGCCCAAAACATCACTATAGGAGTTGTTGCCCATGTAGATTCTGTGTTCACCAGCCTTCTTTTCAGTAAACTCCACAAACATATCTTTATTTTGCACAATATGCCTAGTTGCAGCAGAATCAATCCACCATGAATTTGATGAAGGTTCAAGCACCATTGCTTCAGAAACTGTCATGACAACAGGGTTATGCTCCTTTTTCTGCTTCTTCTGAGGACAATTGGCTTTGATATGACCTTTTTGACCGCACTTGTAACATGGGCCAATTTGATGCTTGTGATGTTGTTGTTTTTGCTATTCTCGTGGTTTCTTCCATCCTTTCTGAAATCCCTTCTTCCATTTTTTCTTGAAAAAAGTCGTCTTTTTCTTGTTGAATGGAGTATGGGTATTATTCTGTGGTTGTGGTGAAGATTGTGCCATCAACAAGTTAGAAGACAATCCTTCTTTACGCCTGCGCTTCATTCTTTCTTCTTCCAAAATTAAGAGTACAGGCAATGTTACCATTGAAATCTCTCGTCCACTATGAGTTAGAGATGTGATAACATGATCCCAAGATAATGAAAGACTATTAAGTATGGTTGTTACTTGCATCTTGTCTGACAAAGAGTGATCAGCGTTGGATAATTCTTTAGCAATTAATTCCATTTGATTAACATGATCACCAACACTATCATTATCACTCATACGAGTGTTATTATATTTGTCCAAGAGCAATTGAATTTGAGTATCCGATCGAACTCCATACTTACTTTCTAGTGCTTCGATTAGTTGTCTGGCAGTTTCATGTTCTTCAAATAGCGAAATAATGTTATCTTTCATATTATGTAACATAGTTGCCTTTGCCATTGCATCATCTTCTATCCATTTATTTTGGAACCAATTAGAATCATTATCTGGTTTAGAAGTGGATAAAGTATGCAATATTTTCTCATGTGTAAGAAGATAAGAAATGTGGCGTTTCCATACTCGAAAATTATTTCCATTAAGCATCTCGATTCTCGAAGAATCCATTGTATTTTTAATAGTCATATTAAAAACAAAATGTGCTACTATGAAAATTCAAATGTGAATATGAAAATTCAAATGTGAATATTACAATACTAAATAAAAATAAAAATAAGCAAAATTAAAAACAACAACAATAAGGAAAAACCTTGTAGTTGTTGAATCAGCCCCTATGATGAAAATGATGTAAAAGAATAGAACGGTATTGTTGCCTTGGATAAGAAGAATGATGAAAACCTAATGGCCTAGTAAACCCAATACTTTGCTTATGAGTATTGTAATAATAGTTACGAGCCCAAGGAACACAATGGTGCCTTTTAAACAATGTTCTTTGGATGTTTTTCTTGGTAACACCCTTGGATAGCCTTCTTCTTGAATTTTTTCTTTTGAAAATGTAGAGCAAATACCCACGGAAAAATTCTTAGAAAAATTCTAAAAATTTTGGCTTTTGAATGACTGAAAATGGCCTTGAAATGAGCGAGACCGAGCTGAAAAACCCTTTGAACCAATTTGTCGGTTCAATGTTTTGGCTGAATTGGCTTGAACCGTTGGTCAACGTATGGGTCAACGCGCGGATCAGTGCGCGGGTCGTGCGGAGCAGACAGACGCTGGTCCGGGTGCGGTGCGCGGGGTGCTGGGTCGACGCGCGGATCTGGGCGTGCGCTGGGCTGCTAGGCTGAGTCGCTGGGTTGGTCGGCCCTTGAGGCTTTGGGCTGCTGGACTCCGCCTGGCTGACTTGGGCCGATGGCTGGATTGGCCCAAAAAATTTCTTTTTAATTTTTAGGCCCAAGGGAACAGACTTCCTTGCTGTTTTCCTAATTTTTGGCCTTTTTAGTATGAGCCCAATTGATTGATCTTTTGAATTAGAATAAATAACGGCTCTTTTGCTCTAGTTGTCTTCTCCAGTGGGGGTAGGAGACCACACACAGTAAGTTGGATCTTGTGGATCAAATTTTCTCTGTTTTTCACAACGAATTTCTCCGTTATGATCAAAATTTTGTGAAGAACAAGATGGTGCCAATTTGGAGACGCAATTTGAATCGAGAAATATTTTATAAAATTGCTTCCAACGGTATAATTCGGACTCACTTTCGGCAAGATTTGGAACAATAGCACCACCAATAGTTATTTTCTTCGGATAGTTTTCTGGAAATACAATATGTTGGTGATGATTAAATAAACAAACCGAATTAACCAATGTCGAAGATTGATAATCAATGATTTTATGAATTTTTGGTAAAAAGAGTTCGGAAAATTTTTGTTCTTCCGGACTAAAATTTGACATCTGCGATAATGTAACCTTGCTTTGATACCACTGAAAGATAATCTTAACAATGGTAATTGATCGAAATACCTGTGAAGGTGTTTATCACACGAGAATATCGATTATCCGAAAGTTAGAAAATGGAAATCTTCTAGTTCATATATAAATTATTCCAAACCTGCTGTCAAGTATTTATATAAAAATAAGTGACCTTTGGGAATAGGTATAATATTTGAATTTGTTTCATATAACAACAGTCACCATGGTTCACTAAAAGTTGTGTCTATTGATGTTTGAATTCAAACCATTAACTAACTAACATATAGCTTTAATATTCTTGCGGGAAGGTTCTTTACAATTCAAGAGAGAGAAGATTGAGTGAAGTGAGTCACACCAAATTGTGGTGTGGTCACTCTTTATTCCATCAAAAATAACAACCCTACGTGATGTTTTATGCTATTCTAAAACCCTAGCTATGATTACAAACTGAAAACAAGATTTAAAAGCTACTGAAATCAAGAGAAAGAATAGACTTACTTGTTGGTTTAAATTAAACTAAAGAAAGCAACCGAAAAGAGAGGAAACCAAAAGATTTGCTTGCTTGAATGCTTCCCGCAGGTTCTAGCTTCACTTTGATTCAAGATCTTCAAACCCTA